TACCCAGGACTGTGAACAAAGAAAATAGGTAGATGTCTCTCAATCACTGGTTAATCAGCCACATTGCTTAAAAATATAAAATTCTTTTTTTTCCTTGACTTTTTCTTTTTCTTTCTTTTTTTATAGAGTATTTTTGAGACAGGGTTTCATCAGTAACTTTGGAGCATGCCCTGGAACTAGTTCTTATAGACCAGGCTAGCCTCAAACTCACAGAGTTCCGCCTGCCTTTGCCTCCCGAGTGCTGGGATTAAAGGCATGTGCCACCACCTATATGTTTTAAAAATCCCTTGATTTCAAAATTTAAGTCAAAAGATATGTCACTTTGGAGGTTTGCTTTTGTTTTCTACAGGAAATGAAAGGCTGTGGACTTATTCTGGGTTAAGAAAAGTGAGGTTTGATCAAGGAAGACCCCCTTAAAAATCTCCAATGGGAGTGACTGGGCTAGATGATCTGTTTTAGAGCACCTCTGCTGCAGCTTCCTCTGAGTTCTACATTCAATACTGTTGGCTGAGATGATCCAGTCTCACAGACTACTCCAGTCAGGACATGGCCATAATCTGAAATTTTCCTTGGGTCCCCATTAATTATCAGCACCCCCAACTATCAGGAAGTAGCCTAGAAAACTATGTCCACACACCCACAAATGGATTATGGATGTTTGTCTTGAGAGTGTTGCTTACAAGTTGTAAAGGAATAAAAGCCAAACAAAGATTAGATTCTGGTTCTTGTTTTGAAAGGAAAAAAAGGAGAAAAGATGTGGGATAATGCTCCTGTATACTATAAATATTTGTCACTCTTATTGGTTTGAACGTTGACTGGCCAGTAGCTAGGCAGGAAGTATAGGCAGGACAACCAGACTAGGAGAATTCTAGGAAGAGGAAATCAGATATGCAGTCACCAGCCAGTCACAGAGAAAAAAAAAATGAGACTACTTTACTGAGAAAAGGTATCAAGCCACATGGCTAAACATAGACAAGAATTATGGGTTAAGTTGTGAGAGTCTGTTTATAATAAGCCTGAGCCAATAGGCCCAACAGTTTATGACTAATATAAGCCTCTGTGTGTTTTTGGGGGGCTGAACAGCTACAGGACCAGACAGAACAGAAACTTCTGTCTACATATATGCTCTGGTGATCCTTGAAAGCAATGTATAGTCTTCAGTCTGAGAATGGATTGTTTGTTATATAAATATAGAGTAGATCTTGTTAACTGATGACATTATTGAGTTTGCTTATACCCTTGGTAATTTTATCTTTACTTGTTCTTTTAAATGTTGTGAGGTTTGCTGAGAGTTCCAAATATAACTGGGGATTTTCTATAGTTCCTTTAAGTTTCATTAGTTCTTAATTTTTGTGTATTACATTCTACTATTTGATGAATATATATTTAAGATTTATATTTCTAAACGCATGGATTGTCTCTTTCATTATAGCACATTCAATGACTTATAAATATATAAATATACACACATATATATTTCCAATCTTTTATTTTCAACTTACACTAACATATACCATTGTATCTGAAGTAAATTCTTTATAGTATAGACAATGTATATGATTGACGTTTCTAAATCAACATTGACAATCTGCTCATTAAATTGGCACATTTTACCTTTTGTGTTCTTAAACTATTAAACACTATTAGAATTTACGATTATTTTCTTTAAACACTATTAGATTTACGATTATTTTCTTTTCTTTTAATAGGCATTTATTTTTCACAACTTGAACAGTTTCCCCTCATTCCTCTCCTCCCAGTCCCTCCCCCCATCTCCCTTCTGCCTTCCCCATAGACTCCTGTTCCTGTTCAGAAAAAGACAGGGCTCCCATGAATATAAACCAAACATGGCATATAAAGTTGCAGTGCACCTCCCCTCCCATTAAGGCTGGCCAAGGAAACCAAATATGAGGGAAAGGATCCTAAAAGCTGGCAAAAGAGTCAGAGAAAGCCTCTGCTCCTATTGTTACGAGTCCCACAAGAAGACCAAGATACACAATTCTAACATATATGCTGAGGGTCTGGGTCAGTCCCATGCAGGTTTCCTTGTTGTCGGTTCAGTCTCTGTGAGGTCCTATGAGAACAGGTTAGTTGATTCTGTGGATATTCTTGTGGTGTCCTTGACACCTCTGGCCTCTACAATACTTCCTCCCCCTCTTCAGCAGGATTCCCCGAGGTCCACCTAATGTTTGGTTGTGGGTCTGCATCTGTTTCCATCAGTTGCTGGATGAAGCCTCTCTGGTAACAGTTGGGCTAGGCACCAATCTATAAATACAGCAGAATATCATTAGGAATCATTTCATTGATTTTATTTATTTATTTATTTATTTATTTATTTATTTATTTATTTATTTATGCTAGTCATATTTGCTTTTATCCTTGTTTTCTGGGCACTGGCCCTCCAGGCAGTATCAAGAATGGGCTCCCTCTTGTGGCATGATGTCAGGCTGGACTAGTCATTGGTGGTCCACTCCCACACTCCCAAAATTTTTGAGCTGCCTATATCCAAGCACAGCTTGTAGGTAGGACAAATTACAGCTTTTGTGGTTGGGATGGTATCCCTATCATTCCACTGGAAGCCTTAACTGGTTACAAGAGATGGCCAGTTCAGATTATATATCTCCTATTGCTACAAGTCTTAACTAGGGTCACCCTCATAAATTTCGGGGAGTTTCCATTGTACTATGTTTCTAGCTCATCCTCAAGAGGCACCCCAATTCCAGCTGTCTCTCCTAGTGCTCTCTTCCTCCATCCTTTTTCTCAACTGATCCCTCCTGTTACTATCCCCTCCCCAAACCACCTCCTCACCCCACTTTCTATTCTATTTCCCCTTTCCAGGGAGATCCAAGTGTCCCCCCTGAGTCCTCCTTGTTACTTAGCTTCTCTGGGTCTACAGATTGTAGCATGGATATCCTTTGTATCTGTCTTCCACATTCTTGGATTGTATTATTTTTTCATAATTCTAATTTATCTTTAATTATTATAGTGTTACTGAATGTACCTCTATGTATTTTAGTGATAGTTCTGTGTTATTTATATAACTTAAGATTAAGCTACTGCCATTTTAGCAGTTACAATGAAGTATAGAATAATTAGCCTCATTTAACACCAGTTTATTCTCCCCACAATTTCCTTGAGTATTTTTCTACACAGTTTTGTTACTACAACTGACAGTGTTATATTTTCCTTCAACCATAAGACATACTTAAGAATGTTTAGGCCTATTGTACTCATGTTCTTTTTTGCTTACTGTGTGCTTTCTTCCTTCCTAATAATTTTTCAAGGTTCCTTCAATTGTGTTTATCATTGCTTTGCACATCATTTAATTCTAATCATTGTTGAGTAGATCTGTCAGATGGGTCTTACAGTACTGCTCTCTTGCTGTTTTCTACTAATCTATTGTCTTTCCATGCACTATATTTTTTTTAATATGCTTTTATTGAAACCTGAATGATTTGTGTTGTGAGACTCCAGATTTGATTTAAACCATTTGTTTTTACTGGATTTCTGACACCACTCAAAAAGAGAAAGTAAAGAAGCCACCCCCGCTTCAGAGCCAGGAGAAGACAAAAATCCTGGTTTCCCCCTCAGCCTAATGAGATCTAAGGAAAGGGTAATCCTAAATAGTGCTGGTTAGGAGTAAGAATACAGCTCTTGGGCTAGTGAGATGTCTTAGCGAATAAAGGCACTTGCCACCAAACCTTACAATCCCAGTTTCATCCCTGGGATCCATGTGGAGACAGGAAAGAACCAACTATCACAAGCAAACCTCCACAAACATGCTATGGCACATGTACACCCATATATGCACACATGCGTGCGTGCGCGCGCGCACACATACACACACAAGCACACAAAGTAAAGTTCTAAATGTAAAAACAAAACAAACAAAAAACTCACAGATCTTCTAATCCTTCATAACTATCCACCACACTGGCTAGAGAAACAGTGTGTTATGAATAGTCCACACGTAAAATTCACTAACACCTAAAAGGGAGGTGGGATTGCCTCATCACTGCTGTTTGAAGGTGGAAGCTATGTTATCTATAACATAAGCCAAACACTGGGTATGAGGTTGCCTTGGCGATGCAAGATTTAAGTGGTAATATAGATTTTCATCTCCCATTGTGGATTACATAGACAGTAAAGTGTCATTACAGATTAGCAGAAAATGAAAGTGTGGTCTCCACATTCCACCATTGGAAAGAAGAAAATCTAGACTTTCCACACAACTCTTGGTGGCCTATTCATGGATTGGCAGTTATCTTTGTGGTGATCACCTGAAGCATAGCTTAGTGCCAAAGGTACTAAGGTATCTACCTGATATCACTTGTACTGTTTTTAAAATATCTTAAGTATTTCTTTGTTTTGTTAGTATAAAACTTCCATCAATCTGTTACCACCCTGGAACAATTTAGCTAATCTCAGTTTGTATTCCAAGGCCATGGTCAGTAATATTTATCTCCAGAAAAAAATATACTTTATCCCTTTAAATATGGGAATTGTTTTAAATAGGCTTTACACATTTAGTTTGGCAGAAGACTCAGATGCTTTATTTAAATAATGTATCATCATGCTCCACTTACAAAGAAATATTAATTTTCTAGTTTATATTTTGTATTTCCAGAAAGTCTAATTCTTCTCTGGCATGACTATTTTAATCCACTATCAACCCATTGATGGTAATGAAAAGTCAACTACCAATTAAGAGTTTTTCATCTAAAAATTGTATTTGCAATACCTGTTAGGCTATGTATTGCTAATTTATAACTATTTCTTAGCTTACTTTGAATAGCTGAATAAACAAATTAAATGTCTTGGGGAGGGAGTACTGAGTATTGTCTTTTATAAACTCTTTCAGTGAAAGATATTAAAATTGGAACATAAAGATTTGATACAGTATCGACTGACATTTTAGGGTTTCTATTACTTTAATAAAAACATGACCAAAAGCAACTTGGGGGAGAAAGGGATTTGCTTCATCTTATAGCTCGTCATCCATCGACAAGGGAAGACATAGAAGGAACTAAGGGCAGGAACTTAGAAGCAGGAATTGGAGTAAGACTATATTTATGTCTTTGCTAGTATTTCTTTTGATGTGATGAACACCAAGGCAAAAAGCAACTCAGGATGAAAGGGTTTATCCCATTATACTTTCACATCACAGTCTATCACCGAAGGAAATCAGGGCAGGAAATGAAGGTAGGAACCTGGAGGCAGGAACTGTTACAGAAACTATGTAGGAATGCTGCTTATTGGCTTGCTCCTTGTGGCATTCCTAGCCTACTTTCTTATACCACCCAGAATCACTTGTCCGGGGGTGAGGAGAGCATTGCCCACAGTATTCTGGGCCTTTCTACAACATCAAGCAAGCAAATGAATCACAACTTGCCCACAGGTCTGCTGGTGGGGGCATTTTCTCAACTGAGGTTGCTCCTTATAAAAGGACTCTAACTTTTGTCAAGTTGACATAAAACTAGCCAACATCACTGGATTTACTAAAGGTTAACTAAACTTGATTTCAGCTACCAAGTCTACAAAAACATATAGAAGAACCATGGACTGAAAGTATTATATAAACTTGTGGAAAGAAGGTAAATAAAATCAGGTCAAGATTCTTTTAAACTAAACTTGGAACTACAATATAAAAAACATGGAAAATTAAATAAAAGGTACAGCAAATAAATTCTATGTCATTTTAAGGAAAAGATGGTTAGTTTTAAGAGCAATATTAAGATGTTCTAAAATTTACAAAATATACAGGTTATAAAATCTAATGTATTTACACAACACTGATTCTACCTATATTAATTATACTTGTGAAACAAAGAACCCTATATAGAATCAAAAGTTAATATCCTACTCAAACCCAATCTAATTAAATGTGATAGAAACACGTTTGAGCTCAGCCTAATACAGCTTTGAACAGTTTTAAAAATCAATCTAAAAAACAATTCTTGTTGGGCAGTGGTGGTGCATATCTTTAATCCCAGCACTTGGGAGGCAGGTGCAGGCAGCTCTCTGTGAGTTCAAGGCCAGTCTGGTCTATAAGAGCAAGTTCCAGAACAGGCTCCAAAGCTACAGAGAAACCCTGTGTCGAAAAACAAAACAAAACAAGACAAAACAAAGAGACAATACTTGGTGTGATCCTCTCTATAAAATTAAAAACTGGCAATCGAGTTTTCTTTGAATATCAATAACAACAGAAAACTCATCTCAAAAACCATCTCTACGCATTGGCATGTGTATATGCCTATATAATGAAAAGCTGGTGGCAGTCCTATTATTAAATTTGTGGACGATAAAGCTAATTCATAAACAATGTTACAATATACTACAGAACAGCCAACCTAACTAAAGCCACTTATGTTGGTTTCCTGAGATTACACAGACATAAAGGAGTAGTGTAATCTTGACAATGTCAACTCTTATGAAGATGTCAAATGTGAAGTCTCATTTCATTAAAAACTGTGCTCCTAAAAACTCATTACTTGCCCAGGTGAAAATTTCACCTTTCAGGAGACAGAAACACAAGAAATCTGACACTCTAAATTAAATTTTGATCACCAGGGGCAAACTAGTCAGTCACATGAAAGTGGTGCAAATGTTAAAAACAGGTCTCCTATCAAGTTGACGTTTGTGATATTGAATGAAAAAAATAATGGGAGATAGTAATGCACATATTTTAGATGTAAAGAGCCATCATAGAAAAATTCACAGATAATTTTGTGAAAATATATAAATAATGAAAGAAGAAAAATGCAGTGAATACTATAGAAGAGTCAGTCAAATTAATCCACAATTTAAAAAGAATGATTGAGAGGGAGATTTTGATAAACTTGTGTATATAAATAAATAAACATGCCCCAAAACTAAAAAAACCCAAAGATTACATTTTTTAGCTGTAGACCTCATTTGAGTTGCATACTTATAATGAATTCAGTTTTTTACTCCCTTATTTCCTTCTTTCATCTTTCTCACTCTCCTGCTGAAGTGCAATCTATATTTTGTTTAGCCAGGGTTGGATAAAGTAGACTTTATTTTTAACATGCTTATAATAAAGGGCTGGAAGATGAGGAGCATTGTGAAAGGCTGGCCTCTGGCCATGACATGGCTGCTACACACACGCACTCACAGTAGCAGTGGTTACTCACACAAGACCTCCACGGGATCAGGAGTTAAAATTTTTCAACATGGAGTGTGTGTGTGTGTGTGTGTGTGTGTGTGTGTGTGTGTGTGAGAGAGAGAGAGAGAGAGAGAGAGAG